AATCCCATACGGCTAATTAGCTAGCCGTATGGTGGCTGAGCCATCTCGGCCGCCACCAAAAAAAAAAAAAAAAAAAACCATTTTCAAAATCAAAATGGTTTTCAAAATCAAAATCAAAATTGTTTTCAAAATCAAAATCAATATCGTTTTAGAAATCAAAATTAGTATCGTTTTCAAAATCAAAATCAATATCGTTTTTAAAATCAAAATCAATATCGTTTTTAAAATCAAAACCAATATCGTTTTCAAAATCAAATCAAATCAAAATCAATATCGTTTTCAAAATCAAACTCAAAATCGTTTTCAAAATGAGAATCGTTTTCAATTTCAATATGAAAATCGTTTTTTATTTAAATTTTAAAATCATTTTACAAATCAAATTCAAAATCGTTTTTATTTTGCGATTAATTGTATAATTAATTTTTTTATTCAAAATTTTCAGTGAAAATTTTGGTGAGCCATCTCGGCCGCCATAGACGTGTGAGTAGTCGCTATGTTACACCAGTCTGGTCCAGCTCCTCTGGCACTATTAAGCGTTTAGTGTGGTTTGCGAAGTTGAAGATGGTGGAGGTGTGTTGGTTGTCGGATATGTCATTGACGGAGAGTTAGTAGTCCCGGAAATGTTGCCCTCTTATTTGGGCAATAGCCGGGCACTGTCCGAGAAAGTGTGAGACAGTCTCCTCTCCGTCGCCGCACATAAGACAAGCACTTGTGCAGTGTGCTTGATTTGCGAATGGTATGGAGGTGTTTGTTCAGGCCACAATGTCCCGTGATGAGGTGCACTGCAGTTCTGTAATTTTGTCTGTTGTAACTGAGTGTAGTGTTAAGATTTTTGATGATGTTGATGATGTTGATGTGTTTGTGTCCGAGTGTCAGTTTGTTGTGTCTTAGTTATCCATGATTCTTGATTTAGTGTGGTGACTTTGTTGTCGATCAGGCGTTTGATGTAAGATTGTGGAATTGGGCACTTCAAAGTGGATCCGAGTACTGTAGAGCTGAACTCGCTGAAGCTCTTGATAATCCTCTGGGGTCTTTCGTCGTATCTCCTGCATTTCGCAGATCTTGGCTCAGCATCCTGTCGCATCCTCATCTTCGTGATCTTGACTTAAAAATGAGAAATTAAACACTCCAGGAACTTCCAGTTTCCCGGTTGGAACAGGAAAGCATGCTGTTTAATCCGGGTATAGGACACGAGGGCGAAGGACAAAATGGTGTAGACACAATGGCGGAGGACACGAGGGCATATGACACAAGGACAGTACTTAACTTAAAGAGTGGACACGAGGGCGGATCACATGATCATGATAATCACTTTAACATCGACACTAGGGCGGAACCGTCCCAAATGACGAACTAGTAATAAACTTGTTATATTACACAATTATATTTTAACTTACACAATTTTATTTCAACCTACTTTTATGCATATAAATTAATATATTTTCTCTGTTAAGATATAGACATATTCAACAATTTAATTACATCTGATAAGAATTTACTGGTAAAACATAGGATTATACGGGGTTTTAATGTTCTCAATTATGTTTAAGGATCAAATCATCGAATCTAGTTACATCACCTTGAATAATATCACAAACCAACATGGGTGCTTTGTTGGTTAAACCAGTGTGCATGATTTCTTGTATGTGAGGACATCAGAGATTGTCACGAGCGATAATATCCTGAAATCTGATCACCTGTGAAACGTAGACAACTTAAGGGACAAATAGACAATCAAAGCTCACGCCACCATTAATAAACAATTCATGATAGACCTCGACATACCATGTCAAGCAGAGAGAAATCTTTCAATATCAACCATGATTCCGGAACGTTGCTTTTGCCGTTACAACTATTGGCGCAAATAACACTGAATACAAAGACCTACTGAAAAACGCCAATGCCAATATCCCCAGCCAGACGATCACCTGCTACATGGGTCACGCACAGACTCAGGGAGCAGAGCTATAATATCACCACTGACAATAAAAATACTACTCTAGAGGAAAAGTCATTCAAGATTTCTGCCTATTGCACTTTTCATCCGCCAGAACTCAGAGAGATGCTTGTTAACACCTCTCTACGCATACCAACATACATATCATAATATGGACTGATAGCCTCTCCTCTTTACAAGTTATCTCTTCATGCTGAACGAGCTCAGATCCACGAACACTTTGGAGATCTGATGGATAATAACACACACCAGATTGTCGGGAAACGAAAAAGCAAATGAGCTTGCTAAGCTTGGCATAATAAAACCAGCGAGTCCACTTTGAAGTGTCTCATTCCACAATTCTATATCAAACGCCTGATCGACGACAAAGTCACCAGACTGAATCAGGAAGATTGGTCCACAAATGTTCCCAGAACACCAAGATAAGACAGGGTTCCAAAGATGCCACCAGCATTAAAAACCTTAACAGTGTTAATAACACTACACTTATAGTAACAGCAGACAGAACTATAGAAATAGAGAACTGAAGAAATATACCTTATCACGGGACACTGCGGTCTGAAAAAACACATCCACACCATTTGAAAATCATGCATCAATGCCTCTCCTATGTGTGGCCACGAAGAAGAGACTGTCTCGCACCTTAAATTGGACAGTGCCCTTCTATTGTATTACTTTTATGGCAATACTTTCAGAATTATTACCTCTCCGTCAACGTCATCTTCGATAACCAACATATTACTATAATTATTGTCAACTTTGCAACACACACTAAGCGTCTTATTGTGCCCGAGGAACTGGAATCTGGATCAAACCGAACTCCGGAATGAGCTAATGCCTACTCTCGTGCTGCTTTAGCTCTTTATCTCTGGTTATTTATTATCTTTTCGGCATTCTTGCATTTATCAGTTGCTCCTCATTTAAAAAAGTTTAAATTTAAAAAGAATTCCACTTGCCACTTTACCACCTTCATCTTCTCATAGATTTACCCGACATCCTCTTCCTGGAGAGTTGCCACACCCCAGAGGTGTCCTCCACCCTCGTGTCCACCACCCTTGTGCCCACCGCCCTTGTGTCCTTTCCCTTCGTGTCCTTGCATGTCCAGTTCCCGATGAATCTGTGGTGCCATCCCTCTTATCTGCTATGTTGCTGGATCAGGAGAATAGCTGTAGCATGGTGCTATCTGTTGTATCGTGCTGATCTGTTGTGTGCAATCATAGGACTTCGGGAGGAGGATCTAACCCAGGAGCAAATGAATTACACTGACAAGGGCTCGTGTGGTGCATCATAACAAGGATAACATGGCGATACACAGTGCTGAGCGCTACCTACACTGTATATCGTCACGCACTGTATTTCGATTGACGAAATAGAGGTGTCGAGATTCGAGATACACCTGATACAGAGTATGACGATATACAGTGTGGTTAGCGGTTACTATACTTGATTGTTGATAGAATACTACTGTCTTCCATCTTCTAATAATTATACCTAAGATGCCTTATAAGATACACGAATCGAACATAGAGATCATGTTTATTTCTTAATCTATAGCTACTATGTACAGAGTTATGATTGTCATGCGAACTCTACCTAGATCTGACCCATTTCTAGGTCAATCAAATTCTATCCAAGGATCACATCACCAATTAATAGTCAAACGATCTGATCTCTCCGGGGCACAGATAAGTTTGGTTCACTCAGGCGAAATAATCTGCAATAACATATTAACAAGGTAAACTCAATACCGTAACTTTAAATTACAACATAAACATATTATTTATATTAATATTATGAATTATAACCTTTTCTGTTGTTTGCCGAGGTTTCGCCATCTACTCTTCCCCAAGTCTGTATCATACCGTGCAGCTCTGAATAACCAGACGAAGTGGGTGCAAGGTGAAGAGGAAACTATGATAAAACACGTACAGAGAAGACTATTCTGATGATATAGCAAATACCAGACACGAAATGTAAGGAGAGGAATCGCAATTTATAACGACCAGTAGTAGTAGTATAAGTAGTAGCAGTAATAGTAGCACAATAGCGATCAACAATTACCAGGATATATAATCTTAGTTATTTTTATTTCTGACCAGTTTCTAACAACAAGACAATGCAACCAGCTACTTCATATGACTAGTGACCACATATATACTATTTGGTGGAAAATAGGTTTTCTATTTCAATTTTAAGACGAAAGTAAATTTTTAATGATAAATATTTATATAGACCGAATAAACCAATTTTGTATTTTACTTTAAAAGGACAGTAAAGATAGACTGTCGTTAAGTCGGGAAAATCGACAATATCAGTAATGTGGATTAAATAGTGTTATAATTCTATAGATAGGAAATTCTAGGAAATTTTAGGAAATTCTAAGACAGAAAATGTGTACTTTAAGCGCAAGAGAAACGCGTTATATCTTTCTCAAAACACACATAACATACCTGACCAATTACAAAACCGTAAGGGACGTAGGCGACGTTTCATTCTGATAGCTTAGGCAAGTAATACAATTGCACTATTCAATTACGTAACAATACAATTACATTACAATATTACTATATTACAATTTCATTACAATTTCATTACAATAAAACTACGCTTTGTTGACATTTTTCTTTGTTATGTTATTTAAAAAGATCACCTTACCCTCATCTAGGTGCCAGTAATTTATAGTCATCTGTCCCGGGAACACAACAACAATCTTCGTACATAACACTTAATCAAAAACTAAGATTTCCAATATTTTATCGTTTTTATAAAATTATTTTGTTCTACTCCTATTTAATGCATACTTTGTAACATTTATCCAACTCGAGTCTCGAAAGAGCTGCATTAGGTTTTTAGTTTGCCAGGTACAGTAAAACCCCCATTAACCGCTGCTATTTTCTTCTCCAAATCAAAACCCCAATTTACTGTAAACCCCGATCTACCGCGGTTTTTCTTCTCCAAAATCCGCGGTATCACGAGTTTTACTTACTTTAGAGCTACTTTTGAGTGTGACATAATAAATAATAAATAATAAATAACAACTTACTTTTAACGAAGGCAGAGACCTTTTCAGGATCAACTTCAGGTTCGGACATATTGTGACCGTGTTAATATGAGCTGCTCCTCCTCTCAAAATGTGACGTGCTGTTTACTTCTGCTTCTTCTTAGCACTTCCACTGTCATCCCTATCTCGTTTAGAGGAACGGGTTAAAATAAGGAGTGCAATGTACATATAACGGAAATTTGAATTAAAAGTGTGTATCCAAATAGAAATCAAACTGAGGAGCGTATATTAAAACACGAATTAAACTTAGGGGCGTAGGCAAAAGGCCCGTTCATATAAAATAAGTTTGTAAAAGTATTGAATCCGATTTCCCGTTCTGATACTGGGCAATTCCACCGTGACAGGCACCACGATTTTGCTATTTTTTAAAGTTCAAACAAATGTTGTACTCGAGACGTTATTTATCTATCAGCTCCAGCTGTTAATTAGTCCACATTTAACCTTTCTACAGGTTTTGTGAAAATTTCAGACCCCTACCATTATTACTTTCTGATATAGCACCTCTGTGACGGACGCGACTTAAATATGATACTTTTTTTGGATGTCTACTCAGATGGTACCCAAATTTATCTCAAAAAGGTATCTATTGTCTCTAATTTGGAATTACAATGATAGAAGAAGGTTTAGGGATTTCTGATATGCCATTTTCTTGGAGATTGCTCAATTTTTGTTTGCGTGGCGCCATTTTCAAATTTTGACAGACGCGACTGTGACGGACACACGTTTTTTTTTCAATTTTTCCAAATCTTCCACTTGACACTTTTATCTTGTTCAGTGATATCTATTGTGTATTCATGCCAATTTTTAGGCCTCAAATACTTCCACGAGGTCTACAATAGCCAAAATCGTCCATTTTGGGCATACGCTAGGGTATCAGTCTAGGGGCAGCAATTATTTCTCTACTTGAACAAATTTATAACTCTGGTAAAACATTCATCACTGTTCAACACATCATACTGTTGAGACCATCTCCCAAAAGTTTCATTACTTTAGTGTTTAAAATGTGGAAGATATTGAATTTTTACTTCAAAAATATGCGAAAATAGGGTAAAGTCCATTTCTTGTGCCTTTTACCTCAGAAAGAGTTTTAAGCAAATAAAATGGCAAAAACTCTGTAAATTTAATTATTGAATTGCATATTGTGTTATTTGATAGTCTAGTCAACATAGTCAAACTTTATTTGACTTCAATTTGTCTTGGTTTTAGTCAAAATAATGGAAATATGGATAAAAATGGCTGAAAGTGAGCCTTACGCCCATATATGGGCATATACAAAATTATACATAACTCAGTCATTTTCTGTCCAATTTTCGATTTGTTGAAATCGTTCTGTTTAGGACGGCCTCAGCTTTGACAAAAATGCGTTTTAAGATTTTTTGGAGTATTTTCAAAAAAATGTGACAGACGCGACAAGTTGGGACCCCCCTTCCAAACATTTTTTCTTAAAAGATACAAGCCTGATAATTTCTACGGTACTCCATTACCTTCAGAAGAGATAGGTTACAGTGGTTTTTTGTATATAAATAGCACTATGTGGCTCTGAAAAAAACTTTTTTGCTTAATTTTGTGACGGACGCGACACCATCTTTGTGGAAATGTTTTAGATAAGAAAAAGCATTTGAGTAACGGTTTTGAAACTTTGCATAGCTCTCATTCTTATGCCTATGCCTTAGTGTATGGAATTTCATAGATAAATATTGCTGCATACCCAAACTATGGCCCTTTGAAAATTTGAATGATTTTTTTTCATTTCCGAGTAGTGTTCCTTTGAATGAGAAAAATCAAAAGTTAACGCAATATGAAACAAAAAACTTTTGTTGACCTGTAAGGTTAAGAGTCTAATGAACATATTTTAACCAAAATTAGGTGCCTATCTTAACATTTTCCATTTTCACCAAGTGGAACCTTACCGTGGAATTGCCCTACTATATTCAGGTACTACTGAAATGATGTAGTGAAGTCTAGAGTCTGTTCAACCATAGTCTTGTGAAGTTGCCTCTTTTGTCCATTTGTGAAATATAGTTTGATATTAGAGAGCTGTTCAGATTTTTATAAAAACAAAGAGCTGGCTGAGGTCAGAGGAAAGGGCTGTTAGAAATGCCATTGAAATGGCTAAATTAACCGACTATTACCTGGCTGCTAGAGGGCTGTTAGGTATTTGTGAGCTCAAAATAGCTATAAGCTACCGACGCTATTAGCTGGTGAAGCTTACTTCAGTTTCGTTATGGCAATTAGCCAGCTATTAACCGGCTATTAACCGGCTGCAAGAGGGCTCTTACCGTAACCGGTAACAACCGGCTCATAGCCAGTCAGCATTGTACCAGTACCTATTTGCTGATATTATTATTAAAGTAGTACATACCTATAGGTGACAGTACAAGCTTACTTGACAAAAGGACGATTATCGATAAAGACAGCAATACAAGCATAGGAAAATAAATCAGATTTCCGTCGACAAAAGGAGAATAATTTTTAAAGCGAGACGGTTCGTGATACCACTTAGTAAGCTGTGACCCAGCGCCCAATTGTGATAATCACCAAGCAATTAGTCACATTACCAAGTGGAGCTGCTAATCACCTAGCAATTAGTCACATCACCAAGTGGAGCTGCAGAGTAGAGCTTTGAGCGGTAATTGGGTGGAGGATACCCTGGAGGAGGAGATGTAATGATTATCACGTGACCAATTGGTCACGTACAAAAACACGTCAATATCGTTAACACATGCAGCCACATGGAGGTCAGACAAGACAGCTGACAGATAGCATTACAGTGAGAGTTAGTGCGGAGCTAATTACAGAACTAGTTAATTAGTTAATTAGTTAAGTGTTTGCTTTCACACATAAGGAGAATTGTTCAATCTTTTCGCGCAGAGTGGACTGTGCACAAATCACTAGTTGTCGCTAATAATTGTTCGTTGTACAAGGCAGTGTGGTCACTGATTGATACGTTGAGTGGGACGCTGACTACTGAGGATCTTTAGGATCAATTTATCAGGTTATCAGTCGCAAATCTGGGATCTAAGATAATGGGAGCCGAGGACACTGAGGTCAAATATCAGGGACCTAAGATCACAAATCTAAGACGGGACGACTGTAAGAATACAAGATTTATTAAGAAGAGATAGACATACCACTAGATAGTAATTAAAACTAATATATGCTAGCATGAACTATAAAGTAATTAGTTCTAATAAGGCTACTGATAGTCAGACCAAGTTCAGTGAACTAATACGTGAAGCCAAAGAAGGCGGCTACCTGGTGACAAAGTAAGCTTGGTCTGTTAATTACTTGTATAGTATGTGCTGTCTGAAATGAGAGACAACCATAATCAGTAATCAGAAGCACCACACGTATGATAAATGATAATCCTAGCATTGTAGTCGAAATGCGCAGGTTATCCAGCACAGGTAGTGGTATAGTGTGTCTCCACAATCCACATTCCTCATGTGTACACGCTAACTGATAAAAAGCAAGTGTAAACTGATAGGAGAAGGTACGAGGAGTGAGGACGTGTTATAGGAACAGTGTTCTACCAGGATCACTTGACTGTTCGTCTAGTTCTAGGTCAGAGACGAGGACCAGATGTAGGGGGAGTATTGTGTAGGATAATGTTATTTATAGTGTTCTCCTCATTGTCCTATCATTTGCCCCAAATTGCTGCTTTATTATTATTGGGCCGGGAGTTGTATGAGGAGAATAACAGCACTGATTTGTAGAAGAGTTCAAATCAGTACAATTTGGGAAGCACCTAAGTTAGTTTGTATCAGTGTAAGAGTAGTATCATTACTAATATCATTGTATAAGAGTCAGTAAGAGTAATGATCATTTAAGTGTTGAGGGTTAAACAAGAAACAATCTAAAAACCAATGGTAAGAACACTTACTTCCAGGAAAAGTGATAAGTGAAAGAAAGGGACTCGATAGCATGAGAGAGGGATCATACTAAACGAGTATAACCCAGCTGGCAGAAGTAAATGGGTTCAATCAGACAGGAGCCTACAAATCTGAGGAGAGTAAGAGCCCAAATGAATATAAACAACTTGTTCAACAAAGAAGTTAACTTCTTGTTAATTTACAGCGTAAGTTTGTTGCGCTATTGTATAAAGATGAGAGAGCGTCACACGGTTGGATTGGGCCGTGTACTTGCTCGGTGAGAACAAATCACGCCATCACGTGACCAGTCACGTGACTGGTCACGTGAGTATTATCTCAATTAGAAGAGCCCCGCATAAAGCAGTGATTATAGTGACACAGTGTTCAGAAGCAGTAAAAGATCCTGAAAAGACAGTTTTACTCTAGTTTCACTATAATTTCACTCTAGTTTCACTCTAGTTTCACTCTAGTTTCACTCTAGTTTCACTCTAGATATTCGTTATTATTGTCGTTACTATATATACATCGTTTAACCAATGAGCTTCCAGCAGTAGCCAATAAAAACATTGAATCACTATCACGTGTAAAAACAAGTATGGTTCGTTTCCCCGACAGTATCCAGATTTATCGAGAGCAGTTATCGAAACAAAAATCGATCTATCATTAAACTTTTTCTATATGGCTGTTCAACTTCAGTCCGCCGTAGGCTACGACTACAGCAAAGAGAGACAGACATTTTAAAGATTAATACAATAATTGCAAATTACAATTATTTCTTAGCTCCATGACCAGGTTCTACGAAATAGCAAAAAAGCTTTGGTCTACATAATAAGAAGAGTCGGCTCAACAAAAGACTATCATGACTCAATACAACTTAAGATCCCAACCCAATGGGCCAATACAACTTAAGATCCCAACCCAATATGGGGCAATACAACTTAAGATCACAACACAATGGGCCAATACAACTTAAGATCCCAACCTAATGGGCCAATACAACTTAAGAAATAAGATCCCAACCCAATATAATGAGGCAGTACAACTTAAGATCCCAACCCAATATGGGCCAATACAACTTAAGATCTCTGTTGGAGTCAATAAGTAGGTATCACAGTAATATCTAGCAGATATCAGGCCTGTAATGATGCTCCTTATCTTCTTGTTGTACTATAAGTACTACAACTATATTATATCTCATCTCATACAGGAAATAATCATAGTTAGTGGACTA